ACCATGTACATCACGCGTAATTGGAATCTTTCAAAATTTGTCCTTTTGTGTCTGGCTTATTTCACTTAGCACATGTTCACCCATGTTGTAGCATGTTATCAGGATTTCTTTCCTTTTTAAGGCTGAATAAACATTATTCAGCCTTAATAAATATAAATACACACAGACGCAAACCATATTTTGTTGACCCATTCATTCATATGTGGACATTTGAGCTGTCTCCACCTTTTGTTAATTGTGAATAGGGCCTTGTCAAAAATGATCCCACCGTATGTGAGAGGTTTATTTCTGGGCTCTCCATTCTACTTCATTACTCTCTACGGCTGTCTTTATGTTACCACCACACTGCTTTGATTGCTGGAGATCTGTAGTAAATTTTGAGATCAAGAAGCCAGAGTCTTTCAAAATTTTTCTTCTTTTTTGAGATTTGTTTTGGCTGTGGGGATCCCTTGAGGTTCCACATAAATTTTATTATGGGTTTTTCTGTTTCTGAAAAAAAAAATCATTGGGATTTTCATAGAGATTGCACACGAGCTGTCGATTGCTGCGGGTGGGGCTGACGTCTTGACACCGTGAAGTCTTCCAAACATGAACACGGATGTTATTCTCTTTATTTCTGTCTCCTTTAATTTTTTTCAGCATTTTATAGTTGTTGGTCTACAGTTCTTTCATTTCCTTGGTGAAGTCAATTTTATGTATTTTATTCTGTTAGACACTATTGTAAATTGAAACAGTTCCCTTAATTTCCTTCCTGATTGTTCACTGTCAGCAGATAGAAATGCAACGGACTTTTCACACATTGATTTTATATCCTACTACTTTGCAGGATTTGTTTATTAGTTTTAATTGTGTGTGTGTGTGTGCGTGTGTGTGTGTGTGTGTGTGTGTGTGTGTGTGAGAGTGAGATCTTTAGGTGTTTCTACAGAGAAAATTATACCATCTGGGAACAGAGGTCATTCCACTTCTTCCTTTCCAATTCGGATGCCTCCATTGTAATTCCTCCGAATTCTTTTTCTACCCCATCCTGTTTCTCTTCTTCTGGGACTCCAGTGTTACCTCTTCTGTTATTGGTCCTAAAACTCTGTTCAGTTTTGTCCTTCTGTAGTCATTTTCTGTTTTGTCATTAGGCAGTTTCCATTCCTCTATCTTCAAGTTCATGAGGCATTCTTCTGTTTTCTCTATTCTGTTTTTAAGCTCCTGTTTGTTTATTTTGGTAATTATATTTACCAATTGTTAAATTTCTATTTGTTTCTTCTGTCTTCTATTTCTTTGCTGAGGCTTTTTTCCTTTGTTTTGAGGGTGTTTGTACTTGCTCATTAAAACATTTTTATGATGGCTGCTTTAGAATCTTATCAGATAATTCCAATGTCTCTGTTAATTGGTATATATTGGTGCTTTTCTTTCCCTTTAAAATTGAGCTCTTCCTGGTTCATAATTGAGTGACTTTCACGAACATTCTCAGTGAGTACTCCATTGAGATTCTGAATTTTATTCAGACCTTCAGTTTTAGTTGGCTCCCTCTGCTGTTGCTCCAGCAGGAGAACGGGGGGTGGTACCGTGTTTCTGCCAGGTGAAAGGTGTCTGTCTGGGTTCCCCGCCTGGCTCCTAGTCACTGCTGGGCTTACACTTACTGTTGGTAAATTCCTGCTTGTTTCTTTTACTGTCACTTAGTCACTTTCATTTTACTGATCTCTCTCTTACGTATATTCTCTTTCTCTCTTTTGTTTTTAGTTCAGAGACATTCCCTTGAAATGAATATTCTCTAATCTGGGGGTCAGTAGGGAACATCCGTAAGTGTCAGAGCCAGGGACTTCGGAACAATGCTCCGAAGGCATTGTTCGGGACTTCGGAACAATGCTCTGAAGGCGTTAGTGACAATACGACACCTCACTTCTGCCTGCCCTTCCGCCTGACCCCTAAGGTGATGCTGCACATCGAGGGGAGGGCTCTGGAACCTGGGGGCTGTGGGCACTTAAGGGTCCAGGGAGGGGCCTCAGGTGGTCCTCGAGCCCCCTTCCCTACCACCAAATACACATTTTTCTCTGGTGAGTCAGTGGTTTTCATCCGAATCCTAAACAACAACATGACCAAAGAGGTTAGGAGCCACTGTAGCAGATTAAGAAATGGGAACGGCAAAACTGCTGCTCTAAACCAGCCTCTCGAGGGGCCGGAATTCGGGGTGCAGGCTGGAGTCCACAGAGACCGGCGGGGCTACACTCTGAGACTGCCCTGAGGGTGTGGGGTTAGCTACTAACTGTGCCAAAAGGTGGAGTGTGGTGTCCCAAACCGTGGCCTGTGCTCCTGTTTGGGCCCAGGAAAAACAAAAAAGATCCTCAACACGTAAAATGCTTCCACAACACGCAAAGAAGACGAAACAGCCATGACAGTGCGCTCTAAGAAACTCACGAATGGTCATCAGAGGGCAAGAAGCCGGACTTTTTCCAACCAACGTCAGCTGACAAAACCACGAGCCTGGTGCGGAGCGAGGGCGGCGCAGCGGGCAGGGCTCACAGAGCAGCAACGGGCTCCCTAATGGGCAGCCCTGCCGCGGACACTCGCCCTCGGGGGCCAAGGAGTCAAATGAGCGCCTAGCAAAATTCCCTGAGAACAGACGGAAAGAAAGGAAAGTGGATTGGAGAGGGAGGAAGCGGCAGGAAGGCACTGGGAAGGGACCCCGGGGCAGTCCTGGGGCAGCGGTCGCAAGGGTGTCAGCCGAGCGCAGCGGAGGGGGAGCCCCAGACCGAGTCAGAGCCGGGCTGAGTGGACTCCCCTCCGGGGGGAGGCTGGGGCCCAACTGAATGGGTGACCAGTGTCTGATCCTGGAGCTTCTCTGATCTCCGTTCCAGACTCGGCCTTTGAAGCCCTCATTCAGCTGTTTCATCCCATTATTTCCAGAGTTTCTGAGACAAGAAAGAACATCTCGGGTTGCCAGTCTAAAGAGAACATTCGTTTCAAAAGGCATGGAATGCATCTTCCCTTCCTCCTCTCCGGTCACCGGAGCGCCAAGAAACCGCGGGCAGGGAGGCTTCCCCCAGAGGCAAACCGGGCGCTTCCAGACCCACAGGCCCCATGAGCTCGTGAGGAGGCGGGCGTGCTTGGGCCGCACCTCTGCCAGCCGGTGGTCAGCAAAGGTCCTGAGGAGATCCGGCCCATTAACTACGTACGGCGGGAAAAGTCTCGGCCAAGGCGGGGCTTTCAGAGTCCTCTATGCATTAAAGTCCATTCACTCAAGGATAGCTTTGCTAGAACCCGCCGCATCCGGGGCGGGTCTGTGTCCGGTGGCCCCAGGAGAAACCCAATGTACGCAAGCGAGGGTCCCTCGAGGGTTCCCACTCACCTTGGAGTGGTTGCATAGCCTAATCGCTCGGAAGGGGGGCCGCAGCAGAACCCCAACCCACACCCAGTGCTCAAGGAACCAGGCGGGTGGGAGTGATTGTGACAAGGGTCCCTGTGAGACAGTAACCCTGTAGAGTCCCCAGACGGTTGGGACTTGGGAAAATACACACCCACAGCCTCACATACTGCTTAAAACAGCCCTGTGGAGTAGGGACTCTTCCCATTTTTAAAGTAAGAAAACGACACCCAAAGGGATTAAAAGACGCCTCAGCTCACGAAACCAGTAGATCTGAGCGCTCTTCCCATCACGCAGCACTGCCGGAGACAGGCACTTGCACTCGGGTCGATCCCCAGGGCCAAGCAAGGGAGACTTCTCCAGAGCCGAACAGAAGTCCGGGGCCGGGCCATGCCTTAACCCCGGTCCTCACGGCAGACTTCCTGATGATGCCGCTCCAAGACCTCCCGTCTGGCAGCTACCAGGGCCCACGTCTGGGCGTATCTGTGGTACCAGGGGGAGGAGATGCTACGACGACGACCACGAGATGCTTCTGGAGGAGGCGAGGCAGCCCCACAAGAAGGACGGAAGAAGTGAGCGGGAGTGGAGTGTACGCGAAGGGCTGGTGCCGGCGAGCACTGCCCGCCCGCCCACGATCTCCCGTAAGGAGAGTCTAGCTGTTTGTCTGGGCCCTGCAGGTGCGCCTCTGCCGCTGTGGGTGTTGGGTGCCCCCTTCAAGAGCTGCATACAGCGGCTGCACTAACGCCTCACATGGGGAACCCAAGAAGTTCAGATCTCCTCCGATCCCTCCTCTGCGTTGGCATCAGGAGCTCAGGAGGCCAGAAGGGCCTTCTGCACACGGAGGCTCACCAGGGCCCCGTCCATTTAACTGGGCCAGCCTGGAGGGAGAGAACAGAGCTGGGACTCCAGCCTGGATCTAGTGGCGTGGGCGCAGGCCTGTCTCCCCCACTAACTGTACGGCCAGCACGGGGTCTTACTCAGAAGCATTTAAATCCATACATGTGGAGTCAAGTGGGACCAGCCAGGCCCGGCTCTGCCCCAGTCTGACGGCAGATGAGCTCTTCCGCGTCTCCAGGCCTCAGCCCCTTCAATTTCCAGATGGGATGGAAATGCCCGGCCCTCGGACCTCAGCGGCTGAACTCTGTCCTGGGTGCCGGGTCAGATCACGTGTGGGCAAGCGCTAATATACCGTATCTTTCGGACTATAAGACCGCCCCTCCAATTTGGGAAGAATAATGGTTGTTAATGCTGCTGGGGAGTTCTGTTTACATTTACTTTGGTGAAATATGTTATTTATGTTATTAAACATTTTAACACATTTTTTGCTTCAATTTCCCCCCCATTTTCCTCCTCTAATACCTAGGTGCATCTTATGATCCAAAAATACCAGTACTTTCCAGGCCCGCAGGAACAGGAGGGGTGAGTGTGGGCCGCGACGGGCATGTTTATATCACAGACACCAGCAAACATCACAAATCAGCTGTTTTCAGAGCCGGTTATTAAATGTTTACGGGCACACATATGCACACGAGTGTGCACGTGCATGCAGACACACGTACGTGGAGTTGCTAAACACCACAAGGAAGGGGCCCGGCCACAGTCGGGGAGGGGTATCCCGGGCAGGACGACGCAAGGGCGGCCCACTCACCAGTCTCAGGTTCTTCATCGCCTGGGGGAACATGCCTTGGTGCAACTGTAACTTGCCGACCTTCATCACCTGCACACCTCTGACCGGGTGGCTTCCGGGGAAGAAGATCCTGGAAGAAATCGAATGGCAGATGGCGTCAGTGGCTCCGTCCTTCGCAGCCAGCCTTTCGCCGGGAGACCGAGGGGGTCGGAGGTCACACGGGCTGTGCCCGCGAATGAGCTCTGGAGAGGAAGTCTGCGATCCTGAGCGGGCAGGCTCAGGGCCCGTCTCCTGCTCCCAGCATGCCTTTGCATTCGGGAAAACCGACTGTAGGGAACGCCCCTCTAACGCACACCAGAGGGGGAGACACCAGTCTGGACTCTGCATTTACACTGGGGAGGCGGGCACGACCGGGGGCTAATCTCATCCTCCGGGCTCTCCCTGAAGCTCCAGCACCCAGGGCAGCCGCGGACAGAGGGGCCTCTCTGCACACACCTGAGGAGTAAGGGCACGGGAGCTTTCACGGGCCCCTTCCAGACCCGTGCCCACCCCCCTTCCAACAGAAAGCCCTCGAATAGCAGCTGTGGAGCTACCCACCGTCCACCTTCCCCACGGGCCCTCCGGTGTTCATTTTATCACCCCACTGGGCTACAGTTTCTGTGTTTGCCACGATGACCTGCATGTGGGAGGGTGGCAAGACACATGTGAGCTCTTTCCCAGGTGACAGGATCGAGGAGGGTGCTGCAGTGGACCGAAGAATGACCGTGTGGGGCTGTGGTTCAGACCCGACGTTACTGCAGTTTGATTCAACGAGGATTCGCTGTGTCAGACTCGACAGAAGTGTGCAGTGCGGCCTCCTGTGTCCCACGTCCGCTGTTCGCAGCGAGTACTGGTGGGCCCCTGCTCTGTACGCAAAACCGTTCACAGAGCTGGGGACACACCACAGTGTGTGGGGGTGTGTTTTCCTTCAGGCCCCATAATTCCATTAGACGCAAGGCAAACACACATACTATGGTTTAAAAATGCTACAAAGCAGAGCACTGACTTGGTGCCCACCAGAGGCCTCCCTTGGTGCAGGGGGATGCTGGGTCCGGTGCACGGAACCGAACCGAGAGAATGACACCGGCGTTATGAAGGGAGAGAGGTGAGGGACGGTTGGTTGGACCAGCGAGCGCCTCCTGCAGGAGGGACACAGGCCTTGGGCTGGCGCCCGAGGGTCGGGGACAGCCTGGCTGAGTGGGGAGAGGGCCGGGCCTCCCAACTGCCTGCACAAGCAGGGGCGCGCTCCACAGGGGACTGCACGTGCCTGCCCGTGGACAGAGCAACAACACCCCGGAGTCACGGCCCAGGGAGGGCCCACACACTCCTCGCACAGGTTTTCCTGCACGAACTCTCGGGCCCGCGCTGCCCAACAGAGACGAGGCCGAGGAGACACGGCGTTCTCTGGCGAGTGCGCACGTGTCTGCAAACCGTTTCCTCTCCCTGCGCCTCGACCCTCCCCCTGTGAAACGTGATACAGAAACGTTTCGTCCGTGCTCCTTTAAGAGGTGGAAAGCAGAATGTGAGAAGGAGATATTTCAATCAATGGAGCCTGGGCCATTCTTCTTTTAAAGAACTGGGAAGGGACGGGGTAACAAAGGAGACACCTGGATCCTGGAATTCTCCCTCCCGCTGCGTCTGCCGGGAGATCAGTCAGTCCAGCCCGGCCCTCCCAGACGGACAGCGTTACCCACTTGCGTGGAAAAGATCTGGAGATCCCCAGACAAAAGGCCTAAGTGCAGGACGCCGTTGTTGGGAGGTAATTGCCCCCGACATTTCCTTGAAAAGCACACCTGGGTTTGGGATTTGATTGTATTGCTATAAATGTGGCATAATTAAACGTAAAGGCCAAAAGTAACTTTACGCTGATAATCACCCCACTGAGTGGAGGTCCGCCCTGTCGGCCAGCAGCCGGTTCTGGGACGGCAGAGCGGGGCGCATAACTGTGCGGTGACAGTCCCGCTGCAGCTGCTTCAAGGCAGGAAAAACTGAAGAGACCGTTGCTCAGGAGAGGATGAGGAGGGAGGGCCTGTGGGCAGCTCTCCACGGGATCTGTGCAGAGCGGTCTCTGAGCCCCGGCGGGGTGCGGACTGTGTGTCTGTCTGGGTTGGGTCTGGCGCGTCCCGGCTGACGTGTGGGGTAAGCACTGCGATCCCTTGCTGGAACAGCAGCCCGAGGACAACTGGAGAAGCTCACCCTGCTGGGGGAAGGTCCCCACCTAGGGTGGGGCGCTCATCACCTTGACCGTGTGAGACAGTGACGAAGAGGCAGGAGGGACTTCCAGTCGTCCTCAATCACACGACTATACAACATCAAGGCCAGCCAAGAGCCTGAACCAGGCGAGGCGTCGAGGGTGTGTGAGGATGGTGAGGATGGCGAGGACTAGCACAGGGGGCGGGATGAGAAAGGTGAGGGGACGGCGTACCTCCGGGATGACAGGTTCTGTGCCCACTGCTGGAAGGGACTCGGAGCAGTCAGGGTGAGCCCCTGCCCCTCGTGAGCAGACGGTCTCGCTGCAGACACGAGGCAAGTTAAAGCGAGACACGGAGAGGCGTGATCCAGAGAGCTGCCGGACGTGGCGCCCACGGCAGGTGCCCCAGGAGCAGGGAGGGGCGCCGTGAGAGGCGCGGTTTCGTAGAGTGGCAGAGCTGGCTCAGCCTGGAAGGGGCAAGGGCTGCCTGGACACGTGAGCGGAGCATGGGAAGGGACCGGAGGCTGAACACAAAGCGCGCTGGCCAGGTGGGCAGAGGAGGGGAGCGGAGAGGAGATGAGTTTGAGGCCCAGTGGCACAGAGACAGGAATGTGAAGCTAGGGAGCTTGAACTTCGGCTCGTAGGCAGCTGGGCAGCACTGAAGGGCACCGGGAGTGTTTCATCAGCACAGAAAACAAAGAAGATTGGAAAGAGACCCTGCGGCAGGATGGTGGTAACAGGAACAGAAAGCAAGGGTCTGATGCTGATTCAGTGGCGCCTGGAGGCCGGCTGGGGTGGAGCAGAGTCAGGGCCGACTCCGAGGCAGAAGCTGAACCGCTGCCACAGAGAGCACAGGTGACCCAGGTAACACCCAGCTCAGCGGACGAGGCGCTCTCCCTGTGGGGGTGTGGCATCATCGTCCCCTCACAGGCTCAGAGCCCAAGACCGCATGCTCCCCGGTGCTGGGCCCCGTGGGAAGCTGGCCTTCGGTGTCGCTGTGAACCAGCACACGGAAGGGATGTGTTTACTAAACCAGCAGAGAACGGCGGCACACGCACTCAGACCCAGGAGCACCGAGCTCTCGCTGCCCTCCTTTGCAAGGAGGCAGAGTCAGGGAACTGGAATGTCTCCAGTCCAAAGGGTGCAGAGAAGGAATCACTGGATGGCAGGACACAGGCTGTTGGCCTCCCTGAGGTGTCCTACATGACGCAATTACCGATCACACTGCTTCATTACAGAGAGCAGGTTGGGCCTTCACTGGGTAGGAAAACCATGTATTGTTTGGGACAGGGCTGTCAAACTCATTCTCACCGGGGACCACATCAGCCTCACGGTTGCCTTCGAAGGGCTGAAATAATTTTTGGACTGTGGAAATGTAACTCCCCCTTAACTGCTAAGGGGCTGAAATTACATTTGGCCCTTTGAAGGCAACCACGGGGCTGACGTGGCCCCCGGTGAAAAGGAGTGTGACAGCCCTGGTTTAGGACTTTTTTTTTTGAACCGATATTAAAAAAATTCTAAATTTAAAAGCAGGACTTAAGTTGCCTATAGAAACTGTGTATCAGAGTAAGCAAACAGCTCTAGTTTATGAATATTAACCGACAAATGTGAGATGGTGACTGAATTAGAAGAATAATTTTGCAACTGCTGAAAAAATAATTGATCCAGGAACAAAGCATCACTGGATAAAACCAGCAGACGCAAGAATGCTGCACAAGTTTACAATAGAGGGATTAGGTTGTTACCATCTGAACCCAACGATCCGTCCCGGCACCGCTGAGGTGGGACAGCCAGGCAGTACCTGACACCGGATATGCCGCAACAGGGATCATTTGGCGCTACCTAGGAAGCATGTTTGGGACAAAGGAAGAGGAGGGAAGGGTGGGAGGGAGGGAAGGATGGGAGAGAGAGGAGGGGGAGGGACAAACGGAATTTAATGAAGCCCATAAAGTTAAATTCCACTTCCTAGGAATAACAAATGGTAGAGAAACAAATAAAAGCAGCCGGCTAAATCTGAGATACGGGAGGTTCAGCAGGACCTTGACCCTGGATCTTCGAAAGGTCAACGGTGTGAAAAGGAAACGACAGCAATGGAAGAGGCTCTCTAGATTAAAAAGAGACTTGAGAGATACAACAACTAAATGTATAGACCTTGCTCATCTTCATTCAAGCAAAACAAATATAAACGATACTTCTGAAATAATCTAGGAAATCTGAACGTGAAGTTGCGTTGCGACTACCCAAGAAAGTGCCCACAATTTTTCTGAGGTACAAACTGAAGTGTGCGTGGATAAAATAATGTAATGCTCGGATTTGACTTAAACTTATTCAGCAGAATTTCTCCTGCCAGTAATGGTGAGTTAGCTTGTTTCAGACCAAACAAGAAAAGTTAGGTGAAAAACAAAATTTTTTTTCTGCTTGAGGGTGTCAAAGGCCCACTGAGGCAAGGGGACTCGAAGAGGCATGATCACAGAAAACGCAGAAACTCAGGAAGGTGACCTCTGCGTCTGTTGCCACTGTCCCCTCTGCTGGTTGGAAAGGCAAGGCGGTGGGCTAAGCGCTGAGCAGGTGTGGGCAGCCTCACAGACACGGGGACGCAGACACTCAGACATGAGGCTCAGGGCCCACCCGGCATGAGAGGGAGCCACAGCAAACACCCCTGGCTTTCATTTGGGACCCCAAAGGGCTACAATCTAGGAAGAGGGGGAAGCCAGAAGCAGACCAGCCGTCACAAAGACGGAGCTGTTCGATCCAGCCCGGACAGATGAAGGGGGTATGTCTCTACCCCGACGACTAAGAGCAAAAAGTAGATTCTCCCTAAAGGAAAATAATATCATCCTGAACCTCATATTATCTCCTCAGGTTCTCTATCCAAGGTCCTGCGCTCCATAAAATTATAC